GGAAGGCATGAGATTTGGGGTGATGCGCAAAAACATGATGACCAGATTCTGTCCAGCCAGCCTCGGCTGCCTCCCAGCCCTCAGTATCTTCCCTTTAGTTAAGATCTAATGATAAACAAGGCATAATATTAGGAATAAGACCGTGCATTGGTTTGAAGAATGTGATGCTGATAAGGAGGAATTACATGACTTAACATACACAGTTAACAGAACAAAAAAGTTCTTCACCTTCTCATGCAGTGCTGTGACATGGAAGACTTTAATGCCTTGTTTTTTAAAATAAGATTCTAGTATGTACACGTGCCTAGCACAGTGGATTTTTCTTTTTAAAAAGTAACAAACATCCAACTCAGGGAGTGCTAAAAATGTAAGATACATTGGTAGCTAACAAAAAATAGCAAGAATAGTCCAAAGCACTGTACAAAATGAAAAGCATAAAATTAATACAGCTTATTGACCAGTGGTCTAGAAATACAGTACAGACAAGGAGTATACTATAGTGTCTTGGAGTCTTTCACCTGAAGGAACAACATCCTCTGGGAGTGTGGAAGCTCATAAAAAACTTGGAGGAACATGTAGGCTCCCTGTGTATCAATTACAGTGGTGCCCCGCATAGCGACGTTAATCCGTTCCGGATTAATAGTCACTATCCAGAAACATCGCTATACGGATAGGAAAACCCCGTAGGAACGCATTAAACTCTGTTTAATGCGTTCCTATGGGGCGAAAATTCACCGTTGAGCGAAGATTCTCCATAGCACCGCCATTTTCGCCACCTCGGTAAGCGAGGAAACTGCGCGAAAATGCTTACGGTGGCCGTTTTGTATACCCGGCAGCCATTTTGGAACCGTCGATCAGCTGTTCTAAAAACATCGCAATGCGAAGATTGGTAAGCGAAACACTTACCGATCATCGCAATGCGGTTTACCCTATCTAAACATTGCAATGTGATCACATTAGTGATCGCAAAAAAAGATCGCTATGCAGATTCGTCGTTAAACAGTGCGCTCGTTATGCGCGGCACCACTGTACCTATTACATCCCTATTGACATCCCTGCCTTTGATAAAAACTGCAATATTCTTTTAGACCTGAGATTATATTCTTCCTAAGCACTTTCAAATCTCATGAATGGTTCAGATCTCAAGATTAATTGATTTTGTTTGTTATGTGTGAGGGTACTTTTCTGAAAGAGTACCTTTCCATGGCTTACATAGCCACCCTCCCTTTGTAGGTTCACTAAAGCCAACTGGAACCTTGTAGTGGAGGCTTTTATTATTTTCTTCAGGCAGAGATGACATCGTTAGCATCTCACCATTGTTCACAGACTGATTTATCACCCCAAATATAAAACATATTGGCCAGCTCTACCAGCAGAGTGGATGCAATGTCACTGACAGTAGAAGACAGCAGTTAATTAGAATCACTCCTTCAATCTTAGGTTGTGTGTAATGAGACAAAGTTGCATTGTTGTTTAGTCATTAAGTCATATCCAACTCTTTGTGACCCCATAGACCAGAGCACGCCAGGCCCTCCTGTCTTCCACTGCTTCCCGGAGTTGGGTCAGATTCAAGTTGATAGCTTCAATGACACTGTCCAACCATCTCGTCCTCTGTCGTCCCCTTCTCCTCTTGTCTTCACACTTTCCCAACATCAGGGCCTTTTCTATGGAGTCTTCTCTTCTCATGGGATGGCCAAAGTATTGGAGCCTCAGCTTCAGGATCTGTCCTTCCAGTGAGCACTCAGGGTTGATTTCCTTCAGAATTGATAGGTTAGTTCTCCTTGCAGTCCAGGGGACTCTCAAGAGTCTCCTCCAGCACCACAATTCAAAAGCATCAATTCTTCAGTCAGCCTTCTTTATGGTCCAGCTCTCACTTCCATACATCGCTACTGGAAAAACCTTAGCTTTGACTATGCAGACCTTCATCTGCAAGGTGATGTCTCTGCTTTTTAAGCTGCCGTCTAGGTTTGTCATTGCTTTCCTCCTAAGAAGCAGGTTGCTTTTAATTTTGTGACTGCTGTCACCATCTGCAGTGATCAAATGTGTGTGGGAGTCTATGGTTCTTATGGAGTGAAGGCAGCAATATTGTCCCCACTGGCCCCGTGGGGGGAGCATCGCAAGGGTCCGGGTGAACCTTCCACGACCCTTGTGAGCTCCCCCCGCCCCCCATGGGGCCAGCGCGGGCAAAATCTCCAGCTTCCAGGTGGGGGAGCATCGCAAGGGTCCTGGAAGGCTCACCCGGACCCTTGCGACCCTCCCCCCACCCACCCCTATGGGGCCAGCATGGGCGAAATCGCCAGCTTCTGGGACTCTTTTGAGGCTTGGGAAGCTTCAGAAGAGTCCCAGAAAGTGGCGATTTTGCCCCCTCTGACCCCCGGGGGGGCAGGGTATCTAAAGGGTCTGAGTGAGCCATCTAGGACCCTTGTGACACTCCCCCCACCCCCGTACAGGGC